GCAATCCTTGTGCGCGCGCTGAATTGCATCAGCAAAAGCGCGCGCGAAAACTGTGTTCGGCCACCTTAATATTAAGCCTAGATTCGAAAGTTACTGTCTTGTGGTAAATTAAGCGATTTTTAATCTCCTTCAAGCAAGATATTTGATCGCGAATATTTTTTTTAAAATTACTATGTCCGTGACATAACAAATACAGCGAGCTGCGTGGCAACATTGGAATGCTTGCAATGAAAATTAAACTGCGACCCTCGGCAGCGGAATATAGTTACACCATGAAATTACCAAAACTATAACTGATTGAAAACCTTTTTAATAAGAAACTGAAGGCTTTTCAAATCTCTTTAAAGTTATCTATGGAAATACTCATGGAAAAATTGAGTCACATGTGATATTATTATCGTTGCCTGAGGTGCTTTGCGACTGAGTGTCACGTTCGCTTTGTAGTCTCGCAGCACTTGTTTATACACTATTAGAGCTTTCTTTAGTTTGACTGCATGGTGTCGTTTTGTTATTGTTAAGTTGTTTATTGTGTCACCCCAAATTACAGATTTCTATGGAATACTGGAGGCCATTTTTCGTCGTGTTCTTTTGCATCTTCGGTTATGCTTTATGTACTCCTGAGGGTAAGTACACGCTTTGTTGTTTTGTTTTGAATTTGTTTAATTTTGATACTGTTTTCTCCAGCGTAGGAGAAAATCGATCCTTGAAGATCAAATAATCATATTCTTTAATTAGGATGTTTACATTTTTAAAGTGTTTCTGTCAAGGAGGCTGTTGGAATCAAGCACTATATCCCAGTAGTCATTGTCAACTACGTAGCAACGGCAACAGAAAATGTTTTGTTGTTGTTGTTGTTGTTGTTGCTGTTGTTTTGATATCATAATTTATTCACAATTTTACAATACTCAACTTACCTACAAAAAAAGCGTTATCTACAATTTACAATTACTAACAACATTGCTTACAATACTAACACTACTTACAATACTAACACTGATTACTAATTAACAATGCCATACTCATTACATACACTGAATATCTTGTAACGATACTTAACTCTACTTACATGTACAATACTAACAATAATACTTCTAATAAGGGCAAAACTTAAAATAATACCACTAACAAAAAATACTATTACACTACTACAGGTCTACTACACGAAAGAAAGTGTGCTGTGAACTGTGCAATCTTCTTTTAATTGTACCACGATGCACCATTTGCGCCTTTAATTTGTGCGTTTTATTTTTTAGTTCACTGGAAAAACTTTCTCAATTTTTCTCTGTTGACTGTTGAGAGAGTTNTTCTGCGACGGTACTGAAAGTACTGAGACACAAAAATAACAACGTACGTCATGTACGTAACTCCAGAGATTCCATCTGCAATAAATGCTACTGCTCTTAGCCAATTAAAATTAACTACTTTATTGCTGGGTGTATTTTTAATACTTCTGTAATCCAAACGTACTCCAGCAGATAAAAATGTACCGTTGGAATGTTCTAACCATCGTCCAAGGGAGGTAAACTTTGTAAGCGTGTGGGTTTTGAATTATTATTTGATTTAATCATTTTTTTATTATTATTTTTTTTTTTTTAGCAAAAACAAAGCTGGGAGCTCATGATGAGGAAGATATTTCTTTGAACAGGTATGTTCACCACACCACACGGAATAACTAGGTCTGGCCCTGTAGAAGAGAAGTTATTAGCCATACAATTTGCCCAGGATTTTAGTTGGTTAATTTATATAGATTCCTCTACAGTAGTGGTGTATTATCGAGTAGTTGATAGCAGCTGACTCTGTTGTCCAAAGACGGAATACTAGAATACTACATTTCAAATTGCGTATAAAATGGGCATCTTCATATAAAACCCCGGCCTAACAATCGCAACATTGTTGGGCGCAACATGTTGCGCGCGTTTGACCACCCTGTTGCGACGTGTTGCGACATGTTAGGAGTTTGAAAATGGTCATATTTGAGCCAACAACACCCAAAAAGTCGCAACACGTCGCAACAAGGTGGTCAAACGTGGGCAACATGTTGCGCGCAACAATGTTGCGTTGAAATGTTGTGATCATTTGGCCAGGGCTAACTATCAAAACATTTTTTTTCAGTTGTCATAAATACGTGATTTTTTTTTTCTTTTTCTTTTTTTTTTTAAGAGGCAAGCGATCTATACCAATCATATACGACATCTACATGCTGGATCACTTCATTGAGCTTGTGGAAAAGATTGAACGCCATACGAGTACCGATGGCGATACCATCAACGAGATCGCAAACTACATCCGTATTCTTGGTTTCAACGCTGATTTGTGGAACATACTGTGTGGCCAGTCAGATCCTTTACCTGTTGGTATTCTGAACTCAGAAGAAAAACGCGTTCTCACTAACATGGTTCAATACAGCTATGATGACAACTCCCAGCGGGAAATGGGCGTAGTGCTGACACCTGACGGAGAAACCATAGCAATGGGTCGTGTCATGATGGGTATTTGCGCAGGCCTGAATCGTGATGATAGCCTCTCCCTCACGCAATGGACAGTCGGTGCTCCATTACGTGTCGACAATTTGTTTACCGCTACCATTGCTTACAACCTCGCGCGAAGCGCTTTGTATAAAGGAAATGGAGACACGTCAACTTTATTCGGTCCTTCTGGATATTGGAACCCAAACACTCAATGCCCCGCTTCGTATCGCTTAGCTGGAGCCGTGTCCAAGGCTACTGATGCAGAAATACTAGGCGACATTGACGGATTCCTTCTAGGGCATGGCATCCCCAAGTGGAAGAAGAAAGGAGTGCGACTTGGTCAGTTGCTGAGGATGTACTATGGATCAGGTATCTATGACTGAAAATGTAAACGCTAGATTAAACAGCAAGAGGGCGCACCAGGTTGTGCTTATTCAAACGCCTCTCTTCTCCCGCACTTAACTCGTCAGTTAGGTTCGGCGCATAACTGAAATGACGTTTGGAGCGGGGCCTAAGTCACAAGATAAATTATTAGCTTATTCGCTCTTGTAGCTGGTAGTGAACTAGTTTATAGACCTTTGACGTCCAAGTAATTCCTCTAGAAAAGTGTTTAGCTCATGCTTCTGTTTACCAATAAGACAACGTAGAGCGTTTTCATAAGTTCTTGAAATGACTTGTCATTTTCTTAGTCTTTTGATAGCTCTATGATTTGCTTTGTGTTGACAGGTATCCTGTATGATACATCATATGCCAGATGCAGGAGAAACTCCAAATTTAGAAACTTAGTTGACATAGAAATACTTCTGGAGCAGATCGAAGGATTCGCTTATGCCTACTATGACAAAAACTCCGCGCAGTTGCCTAATGTAAAGAAAAGCAAGATCGTGGACCTCTCCAGAAACGTAAACGACCAGTTTTTTACATACTTGGGTGAGTTATCCTTTCTAGGTTCTTTTTTTTTTTCTTTCTTTGCCCAATTGAAGTTGACAGGTTAATAGGTAATATCCCTTCTCAAAACTCAATGTGTCCTTATCAAAGCTGTAACAAACTTCTTGAATTTCAGATCATTGGTCGTCAGCAGGCCCGATGTTTATACCTCACTAATCGTACCACAAAGAACTCTAATCGAACCACGATATATACCACAAAGAAATCTGTCGGTTTTCGTTTAACCCACGGTTGTCTTTCCCTCAACATTTTTTTATAACCCATATGGTAACAACTTTCGAGATCATCCGATTTGTTGATTTTTCAACTTAGTTACTGTACTTAGCTATTTTGAATTTAAGAATTGGTTCATGCTTAGCGAGCGTGCGGTTATCGAGTTGCTTAAAGCGTGGCTGAGAACAGCTCTACAAAGTGTTTGCGAAGTGGTAGTGTTTATGATGCAGTGTTTTAATACTTTGTTCTGATAAGTTAATTAATAATGGTAATAGCACTGAGTGGAGTCTGATTCGGTCTGAAATCATGTGAGTGATTAACAAAAGGGAGCAAACGCTAGCGCAAGTCCGATTAGTTGAATCACGAGTATGATTACAACAGAATTGGGAACGCGAAGTCCTGTTCCCAATCAATCAAACAAGATGTGAGGATCATATAACCATCGGTTAAACGTCTTGATAAAAATTACAAACTTTAACAGTTGAGTGTGTTTCGACCAATATGCCAAAGGAATCTATTCAAGTACATCTGTAGAAGAAAGGGCGCGCCCAAAATGGCGTGGACTGTCCAATTACACCAGGACGCGTACACTGTCCTATTTAGGCTAAAATAGGGCCTGTCGATAGCCAATCAGATTCAGGAATTTTCTGACAGTTTTGATTATTTCTGAACTCATTTGCAGATGTGGTCACTGGGAATACTTCGTGCAGTACTGACGAAAATAATGAAGGTTAGAAACGTCATTTTCTTGATTCACTCTATTTACTGTATTTCGCATCCAACGTTTCACTGTTATTTGTTTCAGACTGTGAACTTCCAGCTAACATTGTGTTCGTTATGGACGAGTCGGGAAGTATTAAAGAGGATAACCATAAAAAAGAAGTCAAGTTCGTAAGGTTGGTATATATATTTTAAATCTGCCTCCATCGCTTAGCAACATTTTTGAAAGATTATCTTGCACAGTCCCTCTCGTGTAAATTTTTAGAAAACAGCCCTAAGAAAATACGCGCGCTGATTGGTTAAAAATCGTGTTTCTATAACTCGATAGAACCAGCACGAGCTGTTGACGTGATGATGGCGCGAGCAAAGAGAATTTACATTTTGATGATCAAAGTAAACAAGTTGTTTCCCTTTTTTTCGTCGCGGTGTTTTCCAAAAGAAATAGAAAACATGTTCTCCGTGTTTCTATCGAGTTATAGAAACACTCGTGAAAGTTTGGGAGAACTCGAAAAGGCTGTGGCAACACTGGCCTACTGCTCGTGTTCCCACAGCATTTCTCGTTTCTCCCACACTTCCACTCGTGTTTCTATAACTCGATAGAAACATGGTACATGTTTTCTATTTCTTAAATATTGATGGTCGACGCCATAAGAAATTTCCAGGCAACAAAAACAATCGAATGTTTGCTGTGACGTCACTAATGACCACACATGCGTAGTGGATGACAGTTCTTTGAGGTGTCATTAGCCCTTTTCACGGCTAGATTTTCTGATTACTTGCGTTACAATGTAATACAACGTGGCCGATACCGACAAATTACCTGAAATTGCCTCTCAACTGAGATGCTTGATTATAGTGTGAAGCAAATTAGAAAAGCTAAACGCCAAAAGGGTTATTGAGGAAGCAAAATTTTACTTTATTAACATTACTATTGTGTACCACTTCTCCAACACAGACTAAATCATTTCAATTTGTAAATCGTGTCCCACACAACCTTCATTTTAACATTAAAAGAACGTTAATGGATGAACATTCTCTGGTGAGAAAAAAACTGGAGGTGAAAGCAAATGTCAACGACGAATTCAATAAAAAAAAGTATCTTTCTTATTGTGTACTGACTAACACCATTTTTTATTCCCTCAGGGAGATTATTCAAACGTTTGACATTTCTCCTTTACAAGCTCGCGTGGCCATTGTCGAATTCTCCGACTCTGTTTCTCTGTCAGTCGCTCTTGACAACTATGGCTCCAAAACGAGGCTGATGTGTGCAGTCGATGAAATTCAATATAAAGGTATGGACTCATTAATTTAAAGTCAAACAAAGTGAAGCGTATCCCTCAAGATTACATTAATGAATTGATTATTGAACACTGAACCCGCGAGTCGTTTCAAGAATGCAATAATGAGTTGATTAATCGAATGTTGAACCCGCTCGTCGTTCCAAGAATACGGCTTCAATATACGGGTTCAATATTCAAAAAATTCAATTCGTTATTGCCCTTTTAAACGACTAGCGTGTTCAGTATTAGTAGTAGTAATCTTTAATGAGGATAACAACAGCAAATAATCAACTCATTATTGCATTCTTGGAACAACTAGCGGGCTCAATATTCAAAAAATCAATTCATTAATGTAGTCTTGAGAGGTACTCTTCACTTGGTTTGTCTGTAACTTAGACAACTTCAATTCCGCTAGGCCTGCACCTATCTACTCCCATCTCGTTTCTTTTACGTCATTTAAAATCCTTAAGAATAACCAAAACCCTGGCCGCGCAATTGAGTGTACTGAAGAGGCTCAGAAAAGGCTGCCAGTGATAATCAAGAAACAAAAAAGTGTCTTTGAACCGATTTCATTTTGAAATATAGGAACACGTTAAAATTCTCACGTACCTTTCACGTGATGCCAGACATCAATCAACAGTCAATGAGCCAAATCGGAGTTTCAAGAATTAGCGCAGTGCACATGCGTTTTTATCGCTAATTTATTCTCTTCTTTGGTTACTTACTTTGCTACTTCAGTCTCTAAAAATCTTGACCTTAACCTTAAAAATCTCTCAAAGCTAATCCTAAACTCACCACAAATTTCATGTCAAGTAGTTCTGTTCAATGGCATAATTACAGTGGAATCCCGATTTTTCGAACCTCCAAGGGAAACGAAAATTCCTTCGAAAAATTGGATAGTTCGAGAAATCGGGAGTAAAATTCAGTGTTCGACCGAGGAGAGGGAAACGACTTTTGGTTCGAGTTATCGGGAGGTTCGAAAAAATGAGGGTTCGAGAAATCGGGATTCCACCGTATTGGCACAATGCAAACCAATGAAGACTTTTACTTCCCCGTATTGTAAGCCGTCATTTCCCACCCCAGCCACCCCCTCCATTGCGCTTCTCGCTGCCGCTCCAATTCCTCCTCTGTCTCCTCTTTCTCAGTTCAAGTTAGGTGTTATTCACATTTTGAGTTTACTCTAGGGGGTTACACTTACACTGCTGAAGCTCTGAACGCTGTTCACTACAATGTGTTGAAACCCGCAGTGGACAATCCAGTGACCGATACACAAACAGTTCAGGTACCACCTCACTTTGATTCCTTTAACATCGACTTTTCAAAAATACCATAGGTAAGGTAAAGGTTAAGTCTGCATACGAGCCAAGTGGCCCATCAGGCCGGCGCTTATCTCCGGTTTCAGTAGCATGAAGCGACCAGGAGAATTTCTACTCCCCCCTGGATGGGATGCTAGTCCTTCGCAGGGTTACCCCAGCAATAAAGTTCACTGGTGCCTATTTATACACTTGAGTGAAGAGAGGCACTTCAAGAATTAAGTGTTTTGCCCGATAACAACACAATGTCCCCAGCCAGGGTTCGAACCCGGACCACTCGATCCGGAGGCGAGCACACAATACTATAATCTTAATATATAAGGAACCTCTTTCCTGACAGGGAGCCTCAGACGATTTTAACGACAGAAATCACTGCAGGGCTCAGTAGAATGATTATCATTGAGTTTCTTAGTTTTGCGTTCGCTACTGTTCTTACGTATCTAGTTCTACTCTTTGGGTATATTATACCTTTCGGGGATTTTTAGTATTGTAGGTTTTATTTTGAGACATAGAATATTGACAGTTCGTCCAACTTACATATTATTTTGTGCGTTTTAGATAGTCATTGTACTCACAGATGGAAAATCGAACGACAGGCAATTAAATTTGGAGAAAGTCGTAAAGAAATTAAAGTCAGACATAAGCGGTAATTCTGTTTTGTGTTGTCTTGACTATTTAATAGTGAAATATTTATTTCTTACTTGCGCCTAGCGCTTAGTTTCATGTGTTATATGCTTTTTTGTCTAATTGGGTAGATGTGATTGCTTTATTTCCGCTTCATTGGCAAGTCGTCGAAACACACACACCAGAACTGCGAACGTTGTCACGTTACTGTAACAGCAGTTGTCACAACATTTGTCAAGTATAAATGGATACAGATTGTGAAATAAAAGGCAGAACGAGTAGCAGTGATCTCTATGCGTTACGCAAGTTCTGGCGATCGTGTCGCTCAGATAATTTTCAGAACACGAATGCTTCTTGTTCCGCAGACTGATAGTCTTCTTGAGGTCGTCACGCAACGCTTCCTGAGAGGTAGCGTTGCGTGATGACCCCAAACGACGGCTGCAAAAGAGACTTTATCCTCCGGCGGGGCGGGAGGGGGTACACCGTGAAAAATTGGGCGGTGTGCGGCCCGCTACCCAAAACCCTTACCCTATTTATGACCAAAATCTACGATATTCCCTACCCTATTTATGACCATAAATTCGAAACCCTATTTATGACCTGACCCTTAAATCAAACCCTTGTTTCAGACCTGCGTTACAATTAGTTCTCTAGTTCAGACCAATGTTAAATTACAGTACACATAATTTGTGAAGGGATTTTGCTGATTTTCTTTTCGATAATGACAAAAAAGTAGCTTCTTCTTAAAAACATACCCATATCAAGGCTGGAGTGTAAAATCCAAACCCTATTTATGACCAAAATGGCTAAAATCAGCTAAAATCGATTCCCTATTTATGACCAACATGGCTGAAAAACAATACCCTTTGGGGCTGCACATACCTTTATAGCCCATATAAGGGAGTAACCCCCCCCCC